TAATTAGTAAGGTATGAGTTTGTCCTTATAACATTTCTTAGTATATTAAATTTTGAAGTGAGCACAAAGGAGTATCTAAAATAGGATTGATATGGAAGAATTTTACCTCGTTAAAAAGGTAATTTTAATTAATTACAGCACAGATATCATAAAACAATGTTCATTTATTTTTATTTAATTTTTAAAGATTGTATTAATTACCAAAACATTATCATCAATTTTATTTTTTCACATGAATATATCTTTATCATACATCATTTCCTTATCACCAACACTATCAAGTTGTTTCTATTAATTCTTATCGCTGTAAATAGACAATGACAAAGGTGTGATACAAACGATACATAACGTATTTTATGCAAATATTATTTTATAATACAAGATTTGGGCGAAAAATGAAGCATATTAAAATTATGATAAGTGTTGATGGTAACAAATTAAAATTATCATTATTATTATCATTATCATTATCATTGTCATCCATGTATAATGTGCAATTTAACACTGACTTTGCAAATTTCCTTTCCTTAACTATTTTTCTTATCTAAAACCAAAAAAAAAAAAAAAAAAAACTTGGTGACCTGATTTTTGGAAAACTTCATTCAATGATTAATTTGATAAGGAAATGTGATTGAGAACCAATGAAAATAGAAGGTAAGCATAAACTTTTGAAGAAATCAATGCTGATTTATCTTTGAAATTGAAACCTTTGAAAATTGGGAAATTATTCATTCCAAGGATTGTTGAAGAAATTACTACACGATGGAAAGACCTATTTTTACAATAAAAATGACATTGTTTTACATTTTCAATCATATTTCTGACAGGATTTTCAAATATTTCACATAAGGCATTTCTGCTGCCGGAAAATTCGTTTCACTTTTCATTGTCCGAAACTTAAGACCTTTGAACTGGTCATTATTGTTGGTGTTTCAAAATTCGTAAAAATAATCCTCTGAAGAACAATACTATTTTACGCGGAGCGAATTGATGAATTGTCGTCAACATTGTCAACGTAACAATGAAGCGATGCAATCATATGATCTGATTTCTTGATGATCGAAAATGTCTCATTTTCCATTTTAAACATGTTTACAGTAAATAATAGAGGATATCTATATCAGATGATATATTCTTCTTATCAATTTCAATCAGATAAAAAATTATCTTTAAAAGGTTTACTTAAATTTTTGAGGGAAAAAAGAAATGAATGGTTATTCATAATTAAAACAAAGACATTACTAATTGCATTATCTCGTAAAATCATAGTTCTCCAAATCGTTTCTTGACCAATGACCAATGAAAATATAAATTTTAATCAAAATTCTTATTGTATTTGTAAACTTAAAATAATTGATTATAATGTAAAAAAGAAGGAAAATAATTTTTAATAGCTCTTTCGGTTCTAATTTTAATACTCACAAACCACCAATAATGATCCATAGATCAACGGATGATCCATAGATTACCTGTTAATCTATAGATTAACAGGTAGTTTATGAGTATTAAAAAAATGCTAAGAAGCATTACGGTAAAAGAAGTGAATAGAAATGTTTCCGGAATTGTCAAAATATATATATCCTTACTATAGTGACATATGTTCCATTTACCATTGTCATTAAATTTAAAAATTTCTCAATCTATCGTGGGAAATTTCTCATTTAACAGATCATATAAAAAAGGTAAGTAAAAAAAAAAAAAAAGAAAGATCAATTCTACAATTTATCAATATGTAACCGTTGGTTACATATTGTTATCAATGCTAATCTCAATATTTATCATGAAAAATTGGAAAAACGGAAAAAAAAAAAAAAATTTAGGGTCATTAAACAATTTCCTTTTCTTCTTGCCGGTGAGAAGGAAAAATATTTTTATCCATCCGTACGTTTTTCTTCATGATACTGATGATATCAATGAAATGTATTTCATGAACTGGATGAATGTTAATATCAATTAATGAAAATAACATTGAATAAGGCATTACAAAGAAGATCAAGAAATATCCGATGAATAGGGATAGATGAATTTTGAAATTCTCAAAATTTTTACATCTTTTTCACTCCTCCTCCCGCCTTCTTACATTTACCGGATTCTCTTCTCTTTCTCATCGGGTTATCCTTATTCATAAAACTTTTTCCAACTACTTTCACATATTTATATCCTATATTTATTTCTGATATCATCAGTGCCATTAATTGAATAATAATAGAAAACGATGATATTTTATCATCCATTCGAAATTATTCGTTACATCGTGCCCCATTTTATCATTCGTCTTCTAAATTCATACAATTACACCAATTACAATTAAAGGAAGAAAATTTTCATTTTCATTAATACATACTAAATTATCATTTTATTTATTTGACGTGTCAAACTTACAAATGTTCAGCATTAAGTCTAATTTTTAATTTGTAAATATCATAATTTACAAACATATATTCATCAAATAGTATGAACATTTGAATTCCTTGAATTATTTACTTGAATACTTAATTAGCTAGTGGTATTGATTCTGTTAACAGTTTTATAAGCATTAATAAATTTACAGTTTCGAAATTTGTTAACAATTCTATTCTAATTCTGATTCCAGATTGTAGAATTTTTCAAAAATAGCAGAATATCTCATCATATATGCATATATACTCATATGATTCTAATTTTTTAATGATAACATCAAATATTTAAATTTTCTTCCTCTCATCTTTCATCCATTATTACCTTTAAACATTATCTAGCAAGCAATTTAATTAATTTTATTAAAATTAAAATTTTTTTTTTGAAATTTAAATAGAATCATGAGTATCATTGGATTCCTAGGTGGTAAAAGCAGAAGAAAATATGGAATTGTTTGATGGGAAAATGATGCACATTTCAAGATTACTGATAATTATGGTACTTTTGGAATTCACCATCCTGGTACAAGCATTCCTATTTGGTGGTTGTTGTTGTGAATGTGGTATACCAATGCCACAAGCTTGTGGATGTGCAACACCTCCACCATTGGTTTGTTATACCAGTCCATTATTAATTTACTGTTTTAAAATTTGCTTTAAGTTTAAAATTTTCAAAATATTTTAGAAGTATTAATGTATTTAACCTATTTAATTATGATTTAATCTTTGATACCTTAGAAAGTTAAATTCTATTTTTGATATCAATTTAAAACTTCGATTGTTTATTTGTTTATTCAAACAATTCCATTTTATAAATTCCCTTTTAATATTTCAAATTTTCTGAGCATTTTCCATTACCTTATTTCTTTTTCCCCAATGCATAAATTTCTTATCTTTAAGCCAATCTGTCCACCGCCAATTCCTTGCCCACCACCACCAATATGTCCCATCTGTCATAAATGTCCCTTACCACCACCTTGTCCACCACAACCTCTTACTTTATGCCCTCCATCTTATCCTGTTTATTTACCATCATCCGGTTGTAATTGTGGCAATGCAAATACTGCCGTCGGCGGTTTTACTTCAACTAAAAGTGAAAGTCAAAATTTTGGTAAGTTTCAATTACAGAGCTTTCATATTAATCTATAAAATGATTAAATTTATTTTCAGCACCATTTTTAGCTCTCTCATTGACATTTTAATCTCAAATTTTCCGATTCAATATGATGCTAAACCATAAATACGGAAATATGATCAGACCATTATTTTCAAATCTAATGAACAATTTCAGGACTACCACAAGGTGGATCCTACAACATTGGACGGAACGGTCCACAAAATATTGGACTAGCAGTTGCACGTGGTGCTTCACCACCATCTGCACACCCGCATCATTTACTAGGATTCAAGACAGATACAGAGAATGCTGTGGATATCCAACAAGTGCCTTCTATTCAAGCTGAGAAATCAGATGATTTCACATTTCCGGATTCTGAAGTTACTCACCAATGTATGAAACAAACGTTGTTAAAATATTAAAGTTTCTTTTAAAGTTGCTATTAAGATAAATTATCATGAGAATGACTTTCTTTAATATCTTATCTTTTAGATGATTAATGGAATAAATTTAGACGCTCCTGATATTGCAATAATTCCAAAATTTTCAGTGAGGGATGACTACGAATGTTTTCCTAATACTTTTCCGGTTGTCATCTATTTATGATTGCTTTACTGACACATAATGCAAAAATATATACTTGGTTATTTTTCTATGATAGAAATAGAAAGTCTCAAGACATGTTTTCAGTATCAGCATTATCATCAACATTAGCATCAGTAACGGAACGAAGAACTCGTGGAACCGTAATGATTTCCGAAAACAAGTGTAACAGCATAGTACTGAGGGATTTACTTACAAAGGTTATTTTTTCCAAAAATTTCTATTTTTATGGGGGGGAAAAAAAAGAGAAATGAATCACAATGAAAATGGTTTATTTATTTTTTTTTTTTAAGTATATGGATCAAACGGATCCGGTAGTATCCAAACGATCAATACATAAAGCAGCTCGAGAAAGAATGAAGGAGGATGAAGTGGACATCATCTGTTCGGATGCAGGCTTTACATACATTGTCAGTACCACCGAATATTGTGAAGCGCAAAAGGAAAAAGTTATTTGTTTCGTGTATAAAAAACCATATTAAATGATTTGTTCATATATTTGCTTTCTTTACTATTTGTATTTATTTAAATTTTTTCAAAATTAAATTATATAATTCTGTCACATAATGTGTGAATTTCAATTAGCATTAAAAATAGGTAAATTTATTCTCTTTCATTTCATCAGGATATTTTTCCAAAATGATATTGAAATGATTTTGAATGCATCAATCTTTTGTGTACGGTTTGCTAAATGAAATTATAGATAGGTAAGAATGCGCAAAAAAAATTACGCATAGAAGAAATAGAAAATGATTGAGAAGTACTGATATGAAATGTTAGTAAATTAATATGTTAATAATAATTCATCGAGCAAATTTCTTTTTTTCAACAATTATTTAATTTTTAATTCAATTTCCTCAATGCTATTGATCTTTTTAATATTTATAAATTCGTTGGAACATTTGCATATTTTGTTTGTGAATGAAATTTATCAACATATTTACAAAAAGTTACATTGTTGGGAAATAAAAATGTTACTATTTTGGTTGATAATTTTGATTAATGATTGAAATTATCAAGTAAGTTTTCGCAAAATATTAACAAGAATCAGTTACATAAATAAACAAACAGTTATAGCATATGATAAAGTTTTATTGTTTCGAAAAAAAAAAAGATTTCAAATTTTTACTAACCAGTTCAATTAATGTATTCAATTAACATTTCCACAAAACATTTTTTTTTTTGTTAAAATTGCACATTTCTTTTGTGTTCATCTTTCTTTTATTATCATTATTCTTATTTATTTACAAAATTTTTTGTTCAATAAATAACAATTCTTAATTAATACTTTATTAAGTAAATATTTTAAAAGCCAAATTTTAATTAGAAATGCTGCAACAATTTTTAAAGACATTTCCTATTAATTCATCCAATTTTTTCTTCTCTTTACTTTGAAAGACTTTTAATTTAAATAATATTTGTGATATAATATTTAATATCATTCAATATCCATCAGCAAACTATTGGCTATAAAAAGGAATCTGTAATTTGTAGAGTTTCTTTTCCATTAC